CCACATCCACCGCTTCTCCCTTATCCACAAGACTAGTTATTCTATTAAAGAAAGCTATCAGATTGGTTTGACATGATTTGTTTTTTACAAATCCATGCTTGCTGTTCCCTATCACCTTGCCACTTTCCAAGTGTTTACAGACTATTTCCTTAATTACTTGCTCCATTATCTTCCCTGGCACAGAAATTAAACTAACTGGTCTGTAGTTTCCAGGGTTGTTCTTATTTCCCTTTTTATAGCTGGGCACTATATTTGCCCTTTTCCAGTCTTCTGGAATTTCTCCTGTCTCCCATGATTTTCCAAAGATGATAGCTAGAGGCTCAGATACCTCCTCTATCAGCTCCTTGTATCGTAGAACCATAGAATGTATCGTAGAACCATACTATATATGGAACTATGTATCGTAGAACCATAGAATACTAGAACCGGAAGGAACCTTGAGAGGTGATCAAGTCCAGTCCCTTGTTCTCATGATAGGACACATGGTGAGTCATAGATTCTTTGGACAAATAAATTGCCATCCTGAATTCTGCAAATGTCACAAAACTCTGAGGGCTTGTTTTCAAGAACTCTAAAGTCTCACAAACAAGTGACTATGGACCTTGTGTGAGTCAGGTAATGTGAGAGATCCAGTTCCAGCAGTGCAATTTAATTTGGTTTTTAGATCTAAATCTGGTTTTATATCCAGCTTAAACCAAATCTTTGGAACCTGCTTTAAATTAAAATGCAGGGACTAAGTCAACCTAAAATACACAACTGGAGTCAATGTAGCTTACGTTGACCTATCATGATGTCTACACTTCATTGGGTCACCATTGATTTTCCTTAAGTGTTTCATTCCAGTGGAGTACCAGAGTCAATAGGAGAGTGATTTGAAGTCCATTTAGTGGGTCTTCACTAGACCCTCTAAATTGGCCACCTGTAGATCAATTGCTGCATTGCTGATCCCTGGTAAGTATACACATGCACTCAGGAAAGTAGGATGTTTGTGCCAAATGATGACATTTTAAAATGGCTTTTTCTCAGTTGGCTTAAATATAATAATCACTCTGCCATGTCCTGTATCTCAAGCTATTTAATACTGAATATAGCACACAGAGGACCAGATATATAGACTGCATTTTGTGTGGAAGCACTGCAATATCTTTTAAACAAGATGACTTATTTATTTCAATTCATTCCTCAGAGTTTTTAGGCTCTTATATTAAATGGATCAAGCTTGTGTTTTAGAGGGTGATTTTGTCAGACAGTGACCATGCCCTTTCTTGTGTGTTTGTCTTTCCTGCCCTCTGCTTCCATCGCTACTGGCAATTCCTCTTCTCTCTGTTACTTACCTCAAGGTGACTTTCATCTGCTCCTTCTCCCTCCCTCCTCCCTTCCCCTTCACACTCCTGTCACTTGGTACTGTTGGTTTTCCACTACAGCATTTCTAAACTCCATCCTTTTCCCTCCAGCCATACAAACAAATCTCTTACCTAGCACTAACCTACTCACTCTCAATCTGGCTGCCCAGCTTGTTTCCTGCAATCCATCAAAGATGTCACTGCCAAATCATCTTCCTCACTCTCACCAGCAAGAGTCGGACCACTAGGTGATACCACCTCACCCACCTTATACCTATATTCAGAGCATAAGCTTTTTAGAGACAGACATCTTTTTATGTTTTGTCCACATCATTACTGCTGGATAAATGATAGGTTAATAGTAATAACATATGCTATTCACTCGGTTCTAGATGAAAAAAAACACACGTGTAAAGGTCATCTTGGTGTAGAAAATTGTATTTGTTTCAATTTATATAAACTTCCAATTTAGTCACTGATTTGGGATAAGCACGTTGTAGTTAAAGCTGCGGATTTAATAACTGCAATCGAGTCATTAAGTAGACTCATTGGGTGTGAAACTGACCACCTTGAGCTTTACAATCTTTGATGAGCAATTTTCCATGTGCATTGCTATTCATGGAAGCCTCCCTCTTCTACGCAATCTGGGTGAAATCCTAGTTCCACTGAAGACAGTAGGACCTTTGCTATTGATTTCAATGGAGCCAGAATTTCATCCATCATGTGTGCTTGTTATTCTCTTAAATGGCATTGGAGGATTTTGAAAATGTTTTAAGAATACCTGGCTGACAAGAATCCTAAGTAAGAATAAATGTATAATCTCTTCTATGATTTTTGTGCCAGTGTATCTGAGTAATACTAGCTCAATGCTGATTATGTACTGTATGTATCCTGTGACTTTCTAAGCAAGACTTTTAATTTTAGATAATCCAGATGTACCGAGCCTTTCCCCTAAACCCATGTAACGTGAATTTTCATTTTAAACATTAGATTTAATAATTTTCTACAATTTCTTTAACCATTAATTTTAGCTATCTTCTTTTTAATAACACCTGGAAATCAAATGGATTTGCAATGTTGCTTTCGTGATTCCCAAATTCATCAACTTTGTAACCACAGCTTACAATATTAAACAACAGGGGGAAAAAAGTCACTACAGTAGCTATAAGCCCATTGAAAAGAATGGCAATTGTTATCCTGTGTAATGGATGGAGAAAATGCCAGGGATAGGTTGAGATTGTTAGCAGAGCTACATGTTGAGTGATTTGGAACAGCTGATTAGAGTTGGTTCATTTTAACATGTAATCAAAACATCACATGAAGATGTTCAATTTTATCAAAGTGGGGCCAAGGTCTGATGGAATCCTACCTGCTGGGTTTCCTGCCAGCTTTCCCACCCAGCTTCTCAGCAGCCCCTATGGCTCCCAGCTCCGCTGAGGTTTTTAGACGCCCAAAGTCCATTTAGCTTACCAGGCCAGAGTCAGGGTTCCATTCCATTTCACAGGGGACTGAAATCTTTGGGGTTTGTCCCACATCAGAATGAAACTAGACTCTGAAATACCAAAATCCTTTGTGAAACTTGAATCACTTTTCTCCCCATTTGTTCTACAGCTGACTACAGATACAGACAAGACAAGGCTATAAGCTTTACCTTTCACAGCAACTCATTAATATGAAACAGAGATGACATCAGTGAGCTTGCTGGATAACTAAAGATTACCCACGAAAGCTCATCACCTAATAAACCATCTTGTTAGTCTTTAAAGTGCTGCATAGTCCTGTCTTTTGTTTCACCAGGACCATGAGATAGGCATAGTGCATTGTGTGTTTTGGTATATTACTTTATTGTAAACTGCACCCTGGCGCAGAGAGTAAGGGCTATGTGCCTCTCAAGTCCTGGCTAAACCTACAAAATATAGTTTAAGTAAGATGTATGGGCCAGGCCTCTGTGCTGGGGTGAATTTCACCCTGAGTATTGAAAGAAAACGGTGATACTGAACTCTCTCACATCTTCCATACATAAAATAGTCTGTGGTGAAGCAGAGGAATCACACACCAGCATGGAAGGGGTAAAGGAGAGCCTTTAGTCCCAGCTAGCTCAGCCCCATTATACCTGCAGCTAATGCTGGGTTTGGAAGGGAGAGAAAATGAGGGAGCTTCGCTCAGTTTGGAGATGACAGGCAAAGAGGCAGGAGTTAGCTGCCTCCCTCCCTGAGGGAAGGATCACTAGTTTGCCAGCCTAGAGAGTCACCAAGGATGCAAGTAGTGTCTTCCTGGCCAAAGGAGATGGAAAATGAGACCTAGGGATACCTAGCCTGAGAGAAACCGGAGTGACTGAACAAGGAGATCTTGTGGGAGTTTTGACCCTGCAAAATGGCTGCCCTGCCTGGAGGAATCTGGGAATGCAGCAAGATGCCACTCAGAGCACTACTAAGAGACAACCCAGCACAGGCACTTGGACAACAGGGGCAAAAGTAGGAAGCAGTCCAGGGCACTGAACACAGTCTTGCTGCTGGAGGTCCCCTATTTGGGGCAACCTACAGAGGGCCTTGGACTACAACCTGATAGGATGGGAGGGCCTAGGTCCTCCTACTACCCCTGCCTTAGATACTGAGACACCTTGACACAGAAACAGGGTCAGGAAGCCAAGCACTCTAACCTCTAAACTGTGCCTCAAAACCCCACAACCTTCTGTCATACAGCCCTATAACAAAGATCATGGAACCAATCCCTTATGTGTAATGAAGGGGAGAAGTATGCTTGGCAAAAAGATGTTTCAAAACAACTTTCAGAAAGTAGAAATATACAATGAGAGCTAAAACCATGGTGTGTGTGGTTTCAAGGAAGAGGCAATACTGGCTATGTAAGCACTACACAGTATTACATCACTCCAGCACTACATCAGTATTACACTTCTTTGAGTCCCATTGCACAACGACAACAAAAACAACCATAGTATGTAGAAAGTGGCCACTGAGGGCACCAGCAGAAGCAGGCAGAAAGGCAGTAGTAATGTCAGAGATGACAGGACAAGGAGAATGGAGTCTAGAATATAAGAGGTAACGGCCCATGACGAGAGTGGCAAACTAAAGGTAAGTCTGAAGAAACAATCGTTTTACACTGTACACAGTGTCTGATTATGCTGCAAACACACAATCCACGAGCAGCTGGGCATGCTCTGAAACACTGAATTTAATCATATGTTGTAAATGAAGTATATTGTTACCACAGTTTTCTAACTCTCATACACACTACAGCCATGGTGAACAGACTGCAGCCCAGCAACAGCCCATGGTAGTTGCATCTCTGTTGTTCTCCATGTAACAGGTTAATTCTGCATTTTAACAGCAAGATTTAGCGCCAATTCCCAGGTTACTCATTTCTGTCCTAAATTCGATATTACAAACTGCAGCTTATTTAAAGGTAGGCTACGCAAGCATTCCTCCACACAGTTTTGTCACTGTTTCATTCATTCCCTGGCAATTTGCCAGGTCCCATTTTTAGACTACTTGCTTTCTATGTAAAATTTATCATCTGCAGGATCAGCAGCTCAGCTGTGCAGTTCCTCTAGTCAGCGTGTAAACATTTTTTTAATGAAAGGCAGACCAAAACAATAAAGAGCCTCACATTTTACAGGAAAGGTCAGTGCGTACTTACATAATTTGAGGCAAGATCAGGATGAAGATAATCAATTCCTGCAATAAGAAAAAGACAGCACATAAACCAAAGGTTACCATTAAAAAAAACTAGACCAAACCAAAACCCCTACAACACTTTATAATGACCACAAAACCACTATTGCTACTATAGAAAAACTCTAATAAGGAATAATGCTTGTCTCAAAACTTGTTTGGACTAAGTACCCACTATTCAAATGTGGGACAAGTATTTAAATCGGATCATATATGGTTAGGAGTGGTAGCTCTAGTAATATTTTACACTTATGTAGTACCTTTCATCTGAAAGCATTTTAAAATGCTTTACAAACATATCTATATTCTAGTATTGTATATATTGATACACAGGTAACTTCATCCACCATTAACATGCAATCACCTCTTCTTAAGGAAACAGCAAATTTTTAAAGTCTTGATTGAACAACTATTGACTTCAGTGGATTTTGGATCCAACCCCTAATAGCATACAGTGTTATTACATAAGTGTAGGAGAGGAAAGAAAACTAGTGTAGCCATTAGACACTTCAGAGGTAAATTAAGTAGGCAGAATATTAACTAAATTAGAAATGGGAAGACAATGGGGCAAGCGTGTTTGTTCCCATGAACAGTGCCAGAGAATTTTTCATGGAAGATCAGATTTGTTTGCAAACATTTAAATATCATTACAAACTGTGCATTCAGCCTAGAAATGCAAATATTCACATTTACAAATTCAGAATTGGCTTTCAGCAAACATTTGTTTAAAATCTGCTAGTATGGTGAAGTAAACTAGTTTGCTAGAATAGTCACAGGATATCTGTTGATCTCAGGGAAAAATTCCTTCCATGCTCCACTCTCCAAGGCTTGGTCCATACTAGACCAAGAAGGTCAGCTTAAGGTACACAACTTCAGCGACACATTTTGCACATAGAAATGTAGGAGAGCAAAAGGCACAGCTGGATTCGTCTTATCTTAAGCCGAGCCTTGGCAGAGTCCACAAAGTGGGAGGCCAATGGGAGCAAATGTTCTTGTTGGCTTCCCTAACTCCTTGCAGAAGGAGGAGTATGGACACCAGTGGGGGCTGCCCTTAGGGTTTGATTTACGGGTCTAGACCCACTAAATCGAATGCTAGAAAACTGACCTCCAAAGTAGGAGGCAAGTATAGATGTGCCCTAAATGTGTCTTCCAGCTAACTAGCATTCCCTCAGCAGCCTAATGTAGACTGAACTTCAACAAGCTCACTGTCACCGAGGTTGCAATTGTGTCCAGGCTCTGAAAATACAGGTCACGCTATATGGGACCAATGAAAAGGAGGCAGAGAGCGATGAGTGCGCCACATACTGCAGTAACCAATGTGCCTTACTATTTATCCAGTTGTCTCACTTAAGTATAGAAAAGGGGGGAAGGATGACGGAGCGTCTGCCCCATACTGACCATTTCAGAGTTAAAACCCAGGCCTGGGAGAGGACTAGGGCTATGGAGCAAGCAGCTGAGGCAGCTACAGCCAAGTAGAGCCCAGCTGAAGGCAACATAAATAAAAGGCTCCTGGAGAGGAGGAAAGTCTCTCTCACTCTTGCTTGAGGCTTCCTGACTTACAGCAGGGCTAGGGAAAAGGCAAGCAGAGCTGGGGAAGCTCTGTCCAGGCAAGCTCCCTGGCTGCAGGGCCTGAAGCAAGGCTTGTGGGTACTAGGGCTGCAGGGGGACAGCCAGGGTAGGCAAAGGCAGCGGGTCCACATCCCCTCGCCAATGACGAGACTGCAGTTTGCCCCTAAGCTAAAGGAAGGGGCCAAATGACAACTGACAGTAGGCTCACTGAGGCAAAGTGGGCATAGGGGGTTGGGGGAGGACCCCAGGCAATGCCCCAAGGGGAGATCGCCACCATCTAGAAAAGACATGGGCCCTGACGAAGATGGCAAAGCCAATAATAAGTAACAGCGGGCGAGATGCCAGCTGAAAGGGGGTGTTCGAGGGTTGAAGTGCAATTCCCAAAGTGACCAGTAGGAATGGCTGTGGCAGTGAGTCATGCCATATTACACAGTGACAAAAAAGAACAGGGACAGATCCCAGTGGATCTCTGAGGATACAGCTGGTGTCAGTACTTTCACTTAGTTTTTAGTATTGTTAGCTACCATGGCAAATGTACACAGCTACATAAGATAAAATTCAGCTAGCTGAAAAGTGCTGAGAAAATTTAAGAGACTCCTGGTATTTAATTTGCAGTGTTGTTGAAGCTATTTTCATTGGTCACAAGTCATGAGAAGAAGAGCTCTGCGTAGCTCGAAAGCTTGTACCTTTCACCAGCAGAACTTGTTGTACGTACCTTGTCTTTTGACACACTGATGAATCCAAGCAAAGTACAGCTGTATTTTTTACCAAGTGCTGTGTTTTTTCTCCCAATTCCACTTTACCTTAAACTACTAATTTACATAGTATGCAGGTGACTAGGGAGATCTAGTGAGAAAATATTATTTCAGCTCTCCTGTACATCATCAATATTTTTAGGGAAAATCTCTTATATCTACTATATGCAAGGCAATTGAAGTCCCCATTGAAAGCTCACTGAAGTCAAATGAGAGTCCTCACACTCAGCAAATGGCCTTTGAACTGAGCCATAAAAGACCTATGTGTGCATGACTCATAATAATTAGGGGCTTCTTAAAGTTCTTTAAGGTTTGGATGTTCTTGCATAAGATTATACCAGGTAAGCTATTTAAAACTCTAAAACTGTCTTATATGTCTTGGAATATACACTTACCATCATCCATAATTCCTATAGTAACTCCTTTCCCTGTGTATCCCAGCTCCCAGGCTTCAGCCACATTTAGATCAAGTCCAGGGGTCCCATCTGCTTGACCAGTATTGATCTAATATGTCAATTAAAAAGCAGAAGAATATTATTATGACTTCTTTTGTGTGCATGGGTATGTGTGCAAGCATAGCCAATGTTCTACAGCGACTGCGTTTCTGCTTAGAACCTACTGCATATATATTTTGTGAGAGATGCTTCATTTACTTGGAGCTCATATTTATATAATATACCAGATGGAAAAATAAACCCACAACTGGGAGCCAGCACTGATGTCATAAGGCTCCCATGGGTAGAACTCCCAATGAAGTCAGAATCAGGCCCTTAGATTCCAATCCACAGAAGCATTTAAGCATGTCAGGAGTCCCAATGAAATCAAATGGGATTATTCAGACACTTAAACACAAACTCCATTGTTGGATTAGGGCCTTAGATAGCGTGCTTCTGTACCAACCGACTGGTCAAATGTTTGAAGGTATCTGATCAATCTCACCTCAAATATATTCTCACTGAGGACATGCAACAATATAAATAATAACCTCTACTTGTGAGAAACATTGTTTTCAAAGACTATGTTGAATTGCCTAGACATGTTCTGAACTCCCACCACATCCCTCAGGGTATGTCTACACTACAGCACTAATTCGAAATAACTTAGTTAATTCGAACTAAGCTAATTTGAACTAGCACATCTAGACATAAAAACTAGTTCGAATTAGCATTTTGCTAATTCGAACTAGCATGTCCACATTAAGTGGACCCTGAACCGAGGTGAAGGATGGCCGGAAGCAGTGCCGGTAGGGCATCCGATTAGGACTTAGAGCGTGGAGCTGCTGTCTCAGGCTAGCCGAGGGCTGTGCTTAAAGGGACCCGACCCCCACCCCGGACAGACAGTTCTCAGGAGTTCCCCGCTTGCAAAGCAGTCCTGGCTTAGAGTGCCCTGAGTGCCCACACTCGGCACATCACAGCACTCGGCCATCAGCCCGGCTGCACTTGCCGCAGGCTGCCATCCGGAGGGGGGGTCAATCAAGAGGCTTCAGGAGAGTTTCCACCCCGAGGAGCCCGCAGAGCCAGCTCAGTCCTCCCCATCGGGGGCTCATACCCCATTCCTCCCTCACCTCCTTCCACTTACCCCTCCCTAGCCCCCCTTCCTGATGTACAAAATAAAGGACATGTGTGTTCAAAAATAGAAACTCTCTTTATTGAACAAAACTCGGGGAGACTGGGAAAAGGAGGTGGGAGAGGGGAAGAGAGAGGCTGGGAGAGGGGAGGGCAACTAAAATGATCAGGGGTTTGGAACAGGTCCCATATGAAGAGAGGCTAAAGAGACTGGGACTTCTCAGCTTAGAAAAGAGGAGACTGAGAGGGGATATGATAAAGTTCTATAAAAGCATGAGTGGTTTGGAGAGGGTGCATAAAGAAAAGTTCTTCATTAGTTCCCATACTATAAGGACTAGAGGACACCAAATGAAATGAATGGGTAGCAGGCTTCAAACTAACAACAAAAAGTTCTTCTTCACAAAGCAAATAGTCAACCTGTGGAACTCCTTGCTGCAGGAGGCTGTGAAGGCTAGAACTAGAACAGAGTTTAAAGAGAAGTGAGATAAAGTCATGGAGGTTGGGTCCATAGAGTGGTATTAGCCAGGGGGTAGAAATGGTGTCCCTGGCCTCTGTTTGTGGAAGGCTGGAGATGGATGGCACGAGACAAATGGCTTGGTCA